TTCAGATGAACAACCTTTGGATTGTTACTCATCTCTAACTGGAACCTAAGCCCCATTGTAGTCAATGGCAAAACTCCCACTGACTTATTTTAGAGGCAGGATCCTGCAGTCAAGCCACCCCTTAGATACCTGTGGAAGATTTGACAAAGGCTTGCAGCATCAGGTCCTGCAACAGCAGACATTCCACTGGTTTCAGAGTAACAGCCGTGTTAGTCTGTATTCGCAAAAAAGAAAAGGAGGACTTGTGGCACCTTAGAGACTAACCAATTTATTTGAGCATGAGCTTTCGTGAGCTCATGTAGCTCACGAAAGCTCATGCTCAAATAAATTGGTTAGTCTCTAAGGTGCCACAAGTACTCCTTTTCTTTAGACATTCCACTGAAATTCCAGTTGTGGGGCCAAGCCTTGCTTGCCTGTTGGGGACCCTCTTCCCTTAAACAGAACTACTTTTTCATAGATTCATAGATATTTAGGTCAGAAGGGACCATTATGATCATCTAGTCTGACCTCCTGCACAATGCAGGCCACAGAATTTCACCCACCACTCCTACAAAAAAAACCCCCTCACACCTATATCTGTGCTATTGAAGTCCTCAAATCGTAGTTTAAAGACTTCAAGGAGCAGAGAATCCTCCAGCAAGTGACCCGTGCCCCATGCTACACAGGAAGGCAAAAAACCTCCAGGGCCTTTTCCAATCTGCCCTGGAGGAAAATTCCTTCCCAACCCCAAATATGGCGATCAGCTAAACCCTGAGCATATGGGCAAGATTCATCAGCCAGATACTACAGAAAATTCTTTCCTGGATAACTCGGATCTCACCCCATTGGGCCTATTTACCATGAATATTTAATTACCAAAACCATGTTATCCCATCATACCATCTCCTCCATAAACTTATCGAGTTTAATCTTAAAACCAGATAGATCTTTTGTCCCCACTGCTTCCCTTGGAAGGCTATTCCAAAATTTCACTCCTCTGATGGTTAAAAACCTTCATCTAATTTCTAGTCTAAATTTCCTAGTGGCCAGTTTATATCCATTTGTTCTTGTGTCCACTTGCATGAATAAGGACTGCAGGATGTGGCCCATATACTTCAACTTTTCAGAAACTGGTTCTGGGAAAAAAGTCTCATAAGAGAGAAAAGTGATGCTGAAAGGACTTAGAAACAGCCTTGGTTGCCTTTGTAACTGTGGTCCCAACCCTGCAGTCTTCACTCAGGTGAAATGTTCTTCAGCCTTATCCAAAGCTCATTGAAGTCTATGAGAGATTTGCCATGGACTTTGGCTCACCTGCCACTCCCACTCACTTTGCTTAGACTAGCAGCTGCTCATCACCTCCTAGGATTTATTCCATTGACTTTAATGGGAGTTTTGCCCGAATATAAGCCCTGTAAATCAGGAGATCTGGCTATTGTTATTAACTGTGTTTTTAAAAAAGCAGTACAAGCAAGTTCATGAGTAATTATAAGCAGAATAACTGCAAGTCTGAAGTCAATTCTGGTCTTTCAGAAAAATAAGAAATAGGAGCAGCATTCAATTCCCTTATCTAAACGTATATTCCTCTAGCTTCAACATTCTAATATGTGAGGCTTCTGTATGTGTGTCTCTCATATTTGGTTGTAAATCTGCAGCAATTTTAAGGTTGTGTTATTTTGTAAGTTAAAATACAATGGTGGTTCATCAACCCAACATTCTCCTATTCATATTGTTGACAAGGTATTAATGCCAGATGTCAAAAAAATCATCGGTGGAACAATTCAGTGGCTGAATTTCAGTTTCATATTATAATTGGAGTGCAATTGCTTCCATACTTTGCTTGCTAGCACATTAATAAAGTAAGAAGTTCATATCTAATCCGTTTATTCAGGCTAGATGTGAACACTAATTTCCCAAATAGCTTATCTGCCCTAAAACTACTTCTTAACGTTCTTGCACAAAACTCATTTCTTGATTTAACCCAGTGCTTTTAGAGAGCTTTCGTCCTCTGAGTATTGTAAGAAAATCCAAACTGTAGTGCAATTAGCCTTTGGGAATACAAGACATTTCAGCAGATGCAGGGTACAAGGCACTAAAGTATGGAGCTCTGGAAATTTAAGAATTTCTTTGCTGATTTTATGATGGGTCTTCATTTTTTTTGTAATAAGATCATAGTGTTCTCTTGCTATGTGATAGCAATCTCACTGACATACAGCAAAGGGGACATGGTGATAGCGACTTCACAGGAGGAGAAGATCAAAGAATTTATAAACAACTAGCATTTCAGAAGTCCCAAAATATCAGTGAAGTTCAGGCTTCAAATAGTTTTTCATTTATATATAATTCTGAAACTGAAATTCAGCTACAAATGCTAAACATCCTGTGTTTTAGAAAACAGGTTTTGTTTGCATTTGCTTTGAAAGTGCAGTCTACTGGACTTACTCACACAAGTGGTTTTGATAACTGGATCATATGGTCCATATTCAGTGTGGGCTCAATTCTGCAAGGTGTGGAGCATTTTCTGATTGATCCCACAACTTCCACTGAAGCTAATATGAGTTGAGGACGCTCTGCTCCTCTCAAGGAACAGTCAACACCACTGGGGGAACAGACCCTTTTCACTCAGCCCGTACCAAAGCAAACCTTGCATTGGCTACAATGGGAATTTTTCCTGAGTAAAATCTCAATAAAGACCTTAGCCATTGGCTTATTGCCTTCAGTTGGACTCTCACATGAATACAATCAGTACGATTTGACCCTGTGTTTGTGTACAAATATATGAAATAGAGATAGGGGGACCAAAACAATGAAATCTTTAACACATGCTTAAAATATCATCCACGATTAAAAGTAAGGATATGCAATGCAAAGGGTTTCGGAACAGATTGAAACAGCTTACATTAAATGGTAACTAGAACTGCTTCAGTGAATGGTGTACCTGTCAGATCAAAAGTAAGCTGCTCATGACTGCCCGTTACAGCCTGGTAAATAAAATAAAATTGTATTTCCAAATGATGGGGAAGGAGACAGGGAATGTCCAAATTCCTACTGAATAATATTCAGATTATCCAACTTCATAGAGACCAGTGAATGAAAATGGTGCCAGCTTTCACAAGGAATTATTCAAATGGCTCTAGATCCAGTCCAGAGTGGGATTCTTGATTTCCTACTACCTGTTGTCCAGCAGTAATGATGGGCCAGATCCTCAGCTGCTGTGAATAATCATAGCTATGACTGGCCACAAGAGCTGAGGATCTGCACCTACGTGCCTAAAGTCCACAAGAAACAGGGCTTGGGGGCAATGAAGGAAAAGATCTTGAGAAGCCTCAGTGGCCATTAAACTTCAAAAATCTTAAATATTTTCTCATTCTAAAAATTATTAAAGCACATATGTACAAATAACTACTTCTGCTCATTCTGAGGTGAAAAATAATTAGTAGCAGCCACTACAGTCTGCATCCCCCTCCTCCTCCTCCTGTTCAGACCTATTCTATTCTTCTTCCTTCATGGTACTTACTCTATGGTAAACAACACACACTGTAGTTAGGGCTGCCCCGGCAGTAATCGGACCCCCAAGGCTCCGCCCTGCCTCTTCCCCCAAGGTCCCATCCCTGCTTCATCACTTGCCCCAGGCCCCGCCACACCCCTCCTCTTCCCCACAGCCCTGCCCCTGCACGCCACAAGCCTTGTGAGCAACTTGGCCCTGGAGGTGGTGATGGCTGCTGCTGCTGCACTGCCTCCTTCCTTCTCCTTAGGGTTGCCACAGATTAAAAAAAACGGAGCTTGGGGCTTGTCAAATGGCCCCCGGACACTGGTGAAAACTGGACAGGCGGCAACACTAACTGTAGTTGGTGTCTGACTTTAGACTAGAAGGGGAAACTGTACTTTCTCTGCCTCTCAGCTCCCTCTTTCTCTCGCTCTCAAAAAGCTAAGGTGTTTTGACAGCAAGAGTGTCCCTCCAATAGTAAAGCTTCCTTCTCCTTTTCTTCACCTATGACTCTAGACGGGATGACAAACAAGCCTTTGTTCTGTCTTTCCATGTCAATCTTTTCAAGATTCCCTGGGAATTCTTTTCACTCCATGGATGTTTTTCTGCTGGGCCTGTCATCAAATGCAGCATGCCTTTGTGTAAAGCAGAGTTCAGGCTTAACATTTTTCCTTAATTCTGTTTCGAAATGATCTCATGCCAACATTGCAAGCAAATTTTGGTAAGTGGCAAGAATTCAGCACTGAAAGGTCTAAAAGAAGGTGCTTTCTAAAACACAGACGCACACACATTGCAGTTTCCATGGCCAGTTTGTCAGGTGCTGGTAGGAACCTAAGATATTCACATATAGAATAGGGTTTTTTGGCCTTGCAGTTGTGGTCAAATCCATACTTCTGATGATGGGATGCAAAGATTCTAACTAATGGTCAGTTCTCATTCAGCACATCTAACCCAAATCTCAATGTGCAGATAGTGGACATCCATTATAAAAACAAACAAAGTCCCCAATAAGATGCTTTAAACAAGAAAAGTGGGTCCAGATCTTAGCCCCCCACTTCTGCTGCTTTGTGCAGAACAGCCAGAGAACCAGTGGGTTTAGGTTTCTTAGAATTTCCCCTGCACAGGGGAATTTGTGGGTGGCACAGAACTGCTAAAATGGCATCTAGGGGGAAAAGAGTACAAGCTACCAGAACTATCCTTGGGATCACTGTCAGCCTAGCCTAAGTAAGAACAGACCAAAATTATAGCCCTATGGTTGGAAAGTTAATATAAAAGGCAAAAGTTACCCTTTTCTGCTGGATTTGTAGAATACATACTCAGGGCACTCTGCATCCCTGACCAGGACGGCTCTAGGCAAAGCAAAGACGTGTTTGGGGCAGCACAATTCCAGGGGCAGCATTCCGGCTCCCCCCTGCCCCCCCCCTTCTTGGACAGTTGCGCTCTCTGAGCTTGGGGCAGCAAAAAACCTAGAGCCGGCCCTGCCTCTGACATATTCCATGCTCATTTCCCTGACTAAGCTCTGTTTTTTCTTATTTAGGTCAATATTGGCATTCTCATTGCCGTCACCAGAGTCATCTCGAGAATCAGCGCAGACAACTATAAGGTGCACGGAGATGCCAATGCAGTCAAGTAAGTCATTCTGTTCACATTGCTTTGCAATAAGGGACTCACCTAGAACGAGGTTAGGTCACAGATGGCTATATCATGTGCTCATCTCTGTACATTGGTAGGATGACTCAATAGGAAAAAAAAAAAAACAGTCACAGTCAGCAAATTAACCCCCCATTTTTAATGCAGGAACTGTGCTATGGAAGGGGGAAGCGAAGCTGGAGTTAACCCCTTGTTCGCCAGGAGCTAGGTAGTTCCCCTACCATCCCATCACAATCCCCTTCACATACCGACTCATGATTGTGTCTTCTATTAACACTTTGGTTTCTTTCCCCTTAGAGAATAAGTACATTCAAAAGTACATTGCACAGAATGCAACAGTCATTTAATTAGTTTACACTGGAACATTTCAATACTCCCTGGCTTTCTGAGGATAATCCCTGATTTTGACCCTAACTCAGCAAAATATTTAAGCATGTGTTTACCTCTAAGTCCATCCCTATTGAAAAGCACCTAGGCCCATGCTTAACTTTAATTTTGAGCTTAAGTCCTAACGCTCTTATATATCAAAGCAGTTTACACACTATGGTAGTGGCCTTTTTGATGGCCTAGCCAAAACACTGCCTTATTAAAGTGCCATCCCATCGCCAGAAGCTTGGAAGTGACACTTTAACTTAGATACATCTCTGATATCTGAACACATGGGGCTAAATTCTAACCTCAGTCCAAACCCCTGGGGTTGCAGAATTTAGCCCACTGAATTTAAGTGAAACACAGTATTGTACAGTCCAGAGAGACATTCTTGTATCTCCTAAACATGCTTTCCTCCAAATATAAAGAGGACAGATTTAATGTGTCTATTACTGAGTCACTCTAAAATGTGTTGACAATTTGCTTTTTATGTTTCTGAGCCATGATGCACAGTACACTTAGGATTTGGTGAGGCTGTCCTGAAATTGTGACATGAAGAGTCATTTTAAGATTGAATTACTCACCTAATTTTTAAAGCACCAGCAACTTTCCAATATTGGTGGCACTGATCTAATTAAAGTGAACTTAGTTATTGTATATCTTCTGGAGTGAAGGGAAAAACAGTAGATATGTCTACACAAAAATCTATAAGATAATTATTCTGCAATTAATTCAGAACACTGGAAATTAAAAGGACTGGTGATTCGAGCCTGGGTGAGTCCCTGTACCTTCAGAAACATGAAGGAATTACAGTACCTAAGGAGACAAATGGCCATCTCTGCCAATAACTATTTTTATTTTCCATTAGAGCTATGAAAATAAAGAAACAGTGTCCATAAGTTAATACAAGCTATATAGATACCATTGAGTACCTAGATACTTTGGTGGCTGGTAAATATATATTGAGAGAGAGAGAGAGATTATGAATCAATACATACCATAGGAAGATGTATAAATCAACACATACCATTGGTATCTTTATGACACTTGTGAGCAGTGCAGGTGGGAGCATAGTGAAGTGCAAATGAGTAGCGCTTAAGGTCCTTTGTTTAAATAACACTAGGGACAGAGTTAGAATGCCTGACATACAGACTGAAAATGTGATTTTTTTTCTTCGTCCTGCTCTAGGCCATTTAGGGGTGTGGCCATCCACGAATCCGTGCATCCAACCTAAGTCTGCCTCTGACATTATCCTTACAGTTAATAGTATGCTGATGACATAGATAATTATTTCTTATTAATTTTTCAGTGTCCCAAACTGTGCTAGGCACCTGGCAGCACAGACAAAGATGCAGTCCTTTCTCATAGCAGCTTCCAAGCTTATTTATTATCGTGTGCCAGTGGCCTCCAGAAACCCCAGTCATACACCAGGACCCCATGGTCCCAGGCACTGTAAAAACCGAACAAAAAAGCCCCCAGAGAACTTGCAATCTACTTTCAGACCTGATATAATGAGGAGGATTTAAAAAAAAAGAACAAAACAATAAGGAGGTGTGGCAGGAGATGCAAAGCAGTAGGATTATGAAGTTATTCAGTTATGGACTGTATATCATGGTAGCACAACTCTTCGGTTAAGTATAGGTAAAATAGATATTACAGAGACTGGGTGGGCAAGGTAATATCTGTTATTTGTCCAGCTTCTGTTGGTGAGAGACAAGTAGGTCCAATAAAATATATTACCTGATGATTACCTGTTCTGTTCATTCCCTCTCTGCCCCCTGGCTTCGGCCACTGTTGGAAGACAGGATACTGGGCTAGATGGACCTTTGGTCTGACCCAGTATGGCTGTTCTTATGTTACCTCACCCACCTAGTCTCTCTAATATCTTGGGACCAACATGGCTACAATCATGCTGCAGACAGTAATGTAAAATAGATATGTCATTGTTGGCTAATTTCCTGTGGGTGTTATTGCAGAAGTGGGTCTTCCGGAGAGATTTGAATGAGAAGATAAGTGGCTTTCAGGACCAGGTCCTGGAGTCCCTAATTCAGCAAAGCACTTAATCACATGCTTAACTTTCAGTTAAGGCACAAGTTTGTGTGTTATTGCTTTGCTGAATCAGGGCTTCCATGCTTAGAAGATGTCATGGAAAAGGGCACTGATGTGGGTTGTTGGAGAAATGAGGCGTTGAACCTGATGCTATTAGCAAAATCCAATTTCTTGCCTTTGCAGTTAGTATTCCTTGCATGCTTAGGGGAGTTTATACATTTTTGTGTTAAAGGAGAGACGATCCCTTTCATGTTAAAGTTTTCCCAGGAAGAAAAAAGCTAATCCCACCAAACCGAACAGGATTCTCTGGTGTTCTCACAGCTGCATGGGAGACTTTTTTCAGTATAAGATAAGAACCAAATACCAGAAAATCCTGGATGTTGATTAGCTGATTTATTATGTGAGCATGTTGGAGTGAGTGAGCATAGCAAGCTGAGACAATGACACAGAGCAAAGGGAAATAAAAATAAGGCAATAACCTCTGTAGTTTCCGTCAAGCTACTGTCACCAAGGACTACAAGGTAGCATTTGAGTCGACAAGTTAAATCAGTGGGGGAGAAATCACTGAAGGCTGCAAAATACTTCATGTAATGGCATCCTTAAAGAAAGGGCCTGTCAGGCATCCATCTGGATCGTACACTTCATTTGACATTAGCTGTGGTGGAAAGCGGATGATGTTAGAAAGAATTCATCAGGTGTATTTTTAGAAAATCCAGCTTGATTGCAATGGGACAAGGTGGGTTTTGCAAGACAAGGAAGCACTGAAAACAAGTTGAAATTTTTGCTGCAGTTATGTATTGTCTCGGGGGATAAGGGGATTTTGCAGGCACATAAAGTGCTCAGGGTATCAGAAACCATCAGACAAAGGTGAAAGGATAAGAATTACAGTACAGGGGAAATTGTGGTACCAGGGAAGGTCTGCCCAGTGCGGCAAATTGCCCTAGCTAAGGGGCAGAAAAAGAGGGAAGGATTTAACTTGTGTCTTTTCAAGATGGGAAGAAATTAAAGACAGGGAAGCCCAAGGGTGAATGCTGAGTTTTTGTCTGAAAGAATTTGGATGATGATATTTAAATAGAAAGATTTCTAAGTTGGCAGGTGATAATGAACTGGATGGCACAGCGCAATGAATGAAAAACAAATAAGAGGTGGCAGAAGGAATATAGCAGGGCTGCCAAATGCTTGCTCGCTTCTCCTTGGTAAGAAAATAGGGTCAACATTTACAAGTGTGGATGTGTAAAATATATCTATCGGCACCTAAATAAGTGGCCTGACTTGCAGACATTCTCAGTACCTACAACTCCCATTGACATCAGCATGAACGTAGGTCCTTAAATTTCGACATCCGAGTCTGAAAATTCTAGCCTGCAATTCTTAAGCCCACCTTCTTCCAGGTTTTGCTGCCAGAGGAAAACTTTAACCAGATTGAGGGGAGCTGATGTGCTATGTGAAAAGAAAGCCAATTAAAGGGATGCTATATTGTGGTCCAAAGAAAAAAATATCAAGTGATGGAGCCTCATGACAAAATGTAAAAGTTAACAAAGACTAACTGCACTAGAAGCACATTTTAGATGGTACATGGAACATAAAATAAAAGAAGAGATATATTTCTAGTTAATACAGGGCCTAATCTTCCAAGGTACCAAACACACTGGTTACAAGGTCTTGAGTGTTTTACACTTCCATTGAGTGCATTAGGACTGGAAGGCACTTAGTGCCTTGAAATATCAAGGTAGAGATTATCTGAAGTACTTGATAGACTAAGAATGCAATCATGATCACGATGATACCAGTCAGAAAGGATAATATATTGGTAGAGATGCGTTGGTTTGTCCATGGTGTATTTAGGTTCCCTAAAGATGAGGTTACTTGGCAATGCAAGTGGATATTACCAATGGGAGCCTGTTTCTCTTGGCAACAGACAGTAACAAACTGATGTAATTATTTATAGTAATTGATCATGATTTTCCATATGGCAGTGATCTGAGTCAGCATGCTGATTGGATTATGACTACAGAACAGCATATGCCAGCTCTTTGCTGTAAGTGCAACATGCATTGAAACCATATACAAGTTGGGCAGTTTGCTAGCTCTTCCTGCCTATGAAATACCCCAGTATAGTTCTTGTTCAGAAAGCTGGCATTTGCTTTTGGCAAACTGAATTTCCTCAAAAATTCAACTTTATGGGAAAAAGTCCTGAATTTCAAAACGAAAACAGTAGTACAAAAAGGGAGAAGGAAGTTGCTTTCTGTAATATTCAGAGTCTAGCTGTAAAGTGAATCAACTCCATGTCTTGTCCAATATTTAAATTCCTCTCGCAGCATGGTGCAATATGGGTGAAGTGACCTTCTCAGTTCCAGTTGTTGCATGTCCCACTGAAGGGAGCAGACATATCCTTAGCTAATCAGTTTACTCTAGTTTCAAAGACACAAGGCAGGTGCACATTAACCAACCCCTATGAACTAAATAAAAAAACAAAACCCAAATTAAAAAACAATTGGCTGAAGTTCAAGAAGAAACATCAAAGAGAAAAACTCATGTGTCTTTGGGATGCAAATGTGCAG